CAAAGTGACCCCCACATCGTCACCGCAAGCAAAGTGTAGGGGGTGAGGGGAGGTCACAGCCAGCAAAATCAAACTAGATTTTCTTCTGGTTTTGGTACAACAGGCTCGGTCAAGGCCAAAGTGTCGGTTCTCCCTGCTTCTTGGCTCAAGACCCAACAAAGCAGCAGCTCAAAAGTTGAGCAGCAGCAGCAAGGAGCCCCCTCGGGCCGCACGCACCGGGGCTCAAACGTTTGTCGTCAATTCACTCCCAGGCAGAAAAACCATTTTTCCTCAAAAGAAACAATTTATTTAGAATGAAACAAAATCAGCTCAACGGTGAGCGCATGTTTTGAGTGACAGCTACTTTCAAGCTGTGTGAGCCATAAAAAGGGTATTCCTTTACTTTTCCAGCAATCTTGTGTACACAGCACAAAGCAAAGAGGTCATTTTTTTTTCCACTTAAAACACGGGCATTGGCATCACAATAGCAGATACACAACTTTTTTTTTAAAGCTGCCATTTTAGTAAAATGCACAAATACTAAACAGATAAGCTTTCTTCCATCAAGAGGCCCATGGAAATTCCACATAAGCCACAGCTTCTCTTCCCAAAGGTCCATTAGAGCTTGGGATCCCATGTTGGTTTGTCTTCTGCAGTCCCACCAGCGTCGCTTGCAGGAGGAAAGAAAATGTTATTTCAATACAAATGTAGACAACACATTTTGGTTTTGGTTTGCTTTTCCCCCTCCCTACATTATACAGATGAACATAAAGAGCTCCAAAGGCCTTTCTGAATATTCTCCTTGGACTTCCAAAAGCACCAATACCACTCAGGGGCACGAAACCTTGAAATGAAATCACCTTCTAGGTATAACAAGTAGTGCTTCTCTTTTTTTGGACCAAGGTTAAACCAGGCTTACAGTACTGATGATTATTCAACTTTCAGTAACAGTTCATGGGACGCATGAAAATCATTAACCATGAGAAAAACCAACTGAATTCCTGACAATTCAGTTGACTTCCCTCAGAGACTATTTCCTGAAGGCAACTTAGCAACAAAAAAGGTGAAATGTAGTGTTCCACGTCTCTCTTTTGCTCTCATTTTGCATTGCTCTAACAGCACCCAACTCCAATCTTAAAGGTCAAATCAAAGACACACTGAAAAGAACTCTTAGCAATAGTTACTCTTCAAGTCATATTTCTCATCCACCATTTTCACACCATCAAAACTGCATGAAGTTGAATATTCCATTCACCATTCTCTGAACCAGACAGGTCTGTTCGAAGCCTAAGACAAAAAAAATCACCTCATCATTCAGATTATAAATCACTGGGATAGCTCTCCTTGGGTGCTTTCTGCAGAAAGCAATTGAAAAAAAGGGGGGAGACAAAGGGGAAAGAACCCCAAAAGCTCTCCAGTCTCATGGCAAACATCTCTTCCACTCTTGTTTCTGCTCAACAGGAACACAACAGACTCCCCAGGAGTGCTGCCCTCAACACTGTTTTTTTTTCTTACAGCCAGGAATGACAATTTCCCAAGCCATTTTTTTTTTCCCTGAGTCCTCCAGAGTTTTGAAAACCTGCCTTGGCCATTTCCATCCCCTCCTCTTTGTTAATACTTAAGGCCTTTCACCTCAGTTACCATCAACCAGGTGGTTCCTCAAACCAATGCAAGGAATCGAAAACTCTCTTCACCCGCCATGGGGGGCTGAGCAAGTTGTCACCAAAACATTGCAATGTAACAAAAAAATAATAAAGGAGAGAGGGTAAGATTTATCTGCCTGGCACATCAAGCCCTTCTCTCTTTAGGATGCTTACAAGGTTTTTGTAACCCAGGAGCTTGAAGCTTCTGGAGTTGAGGGTAAACTTAATGTTCACACCACTGCCCCTGTGAGCAGACTGGGCTGGCAGCCAAGGAAGTTGCATCAAGTATCCAATTAAAACAACACAACTAAAAACTTTTTTTTTAAAAAAAAGTATGAGTCATTTGAGGTTCTTTCCCCAAAGCATAAAGCACGACTGTGAAATGATGAAGGAAAAGGACATCCTTTCCCACCTCCCCACCCCCAGTTCAACAACCTCGTGAAATCTCCGAACATCAGCTGCACAAAACTGTAGAGAAACCCTGAAACACCAGAGAGCTCAAATCTGCTACATCTGCTTTGCTCTACACAGAGGTGGTACCACACAGGGGACATCTCCTTGCCTTCAAGACAACTTTTAGTGGACATTTACTCCAAGGGTGCAGGCTCCAGAGCCTCTGAGCAAAGCCCAGCCCTGATGAACGCACGTGAATTTAAGTGCCAGCAAAAAAAAACCACCATCAATGTTGCCAGTCAAGTATGGTTTGACATTAGGAACCCTCAAAGGGTGTTAAAATCCTTGCTTACAAAACAGAGCAGCAACCACAAAGAAACCAGATTTCAAGAAACAGGTATTCTGTGAAATAAGGAACCAGAAAACCTGGCCTGCTCCTTCTTGCCCTCCAGGGCAGCACAAGTTGGACTCACCAAGGCCCACGGCAGGTGTCACCACTGCTGTTTGACAGGGAACAATGGAATTGCACCAGGATACTCCTTCCATTCCAAAAAGATTCTCCCACTGAGTTTGCTTTAACAGCTGACACCAAGTTTCATGGGGTTTAAAAACCCAGGTGCCTACTGTGCATCAGGAAAACAAACACTGTCCTCAGCCAGAAGTGCTGGACAACAACCACCTTCGTGCTTCTTTTGCTTTTTGGTTTAGGGCAAATTCGAATGATTCCTCAGTGGTTTAAGTTTTTTTTCCTTTCCAACTCTGTGCTTGCAAGTGACCCGTGTCAGATGCAAGGGAAAAACTCACTCCAAGTGTGAGCAGCACCTCCAGGGGGTTGGCAGCAGTGTTGATCACCCGCTGAGACACAAGAGACACCTGCTAGAATTCCAACATGCTTTGCAATCAGTGGTAAATACGCTGCAGCTTTTCAAACAGAAGAGTTCTTGGTGTCATTTGGAAACCTCCTCGTTGTTAATAGTAAGCTGAACAGCTGGATTCTGCCATCTATTACATTCACACTGAAGGACAACAACCCAGAAATCCTGGATTTTCCCCTCAAACACTGAAGAGCATTAGATGAGGTTTGACCATTTCCATTTCGAAAGCAGCGATAAAACCAGAACCTGTTTCCAAGATCTGCTGCCACATTGAAGCTCTCAGCTCCCTGGGATCCTACTCCTTCCATCAAGGAAAGGAAACCAAAGCTCACTGAACCCAAAAGCACTCTGACAAGTGGCTCAGTAAAGTGGTAGTATTAGTGAGTCTTGAGCACGTGCAGTCACACTTCAGAGCTGCTGTGCCCATCAAATACATTCAAATCATTTCCTCCTTCACCTACATTCCCCATTTTGACCTCGATTTTTGGGACAGAAATCAACTTGTCACTAACAACTGCCCCAGGAGCAGAGTGGAGGATTGAGTCTCACCCAAGTCTCTGAACACGTGGTTAAGTGCAAGGCTACATTCTGGGTTTAAGTGCAAAGTTACATTTTTGGGGGGCTTGCAGAGATACAGTCAGATTGACACTTCAGTTGAGAAGCTGCAACATCCTTTGGGTTGTTCAAACAACAGGGATTTAGATCCCTTCTTCCCTCCTCATGCCTGGATTAGCCAGGTGCCAAGACAGCTGGAGAACAGCACCCCATGAGTGGGGAAAAGAGAGAAAAATGAACTAAGCTCTTTGAAAAAAAAAGCAAACTGGTTTCTTCCTAGAATCCCAGGAACAAGAGCTCAAACCTCAGCATCTTGGAGAACTTTTAATCCTTTCCCAAGATGCTAAAAACCACTTGACTCCAGATGCCTTTCAAGAGACAAGAAACCTCATGTAATGCCCACTTCACTGTACCTGAAAAGTCCCCAGCAGTTCCTTGCTATTAACAAAGAGGTAAAAAGTTAATGAGAACTTGCATGTAATTAAATGATCACAGAATTAAAACCATCTCTGGAGAGAAGCACACTTGCCCAGTGGAACCAGACCCCACTGTACCAGCAACTCTTTGAAAGACAAGAAATTAAAAGGTAGTCAAAAACCCAAAACCACAAGAAATTTTTCTGAAAGCACCTCCTGGTTTTCCTGCACACCAGAGTAAGCACAAGACATTCATGGTTTGTAACAAAGTCCTCAGCTATTTACCAAAACATTGTCACTGCTACAAACCCAAAAAAAAAGTGCAGATATGGGATACAACAGAACTGGGAGGGGGGGGGAAAAAAAAATACACCTGTTAAAAAAAAATAGAATCAAAAGCCAACTTTCAGTGCATGCATTTAGGAGGGGCTGGAGGAGAATTCTACCAACCACCCAAGACAAGGAATTCCATGTTCTGCAGTGTACCCGAGGAGCAGGTGCTGCTCACCTGAAAAAGACACCAAACCCTGAGCCATGCAACTGCCAGGGAAAACCTGCAGGCTCCTGAGGGATCAGGAATTTCCAGGACCCGAACCACCAGTTGACACCAGTTAGGCTGTGGTTTTCCATCTCAACCATTTGAGTGCTTTCAATCTGGTCTTTTTTTAGGTTTTTTGGAACTCTTACTGAGGATGAGCTATTTCAACTTGCTTTAAAAATACAATGAAATGAAAAAAGGACACGAATCAAAACAAAAAAGGTGGGACTTTCTTCCCACTTTCTTCCCCTCCCTCCCCCCCAGTTTGTTTCTATTTTTTTTCCTCTTTTCTTGTTTTTTTTTGTGTAAATCAAAGCAGGCCTTGCCTCCCTGCATCCCCACTGATGAGGGATTCTCAAAACATTCCTAGTCACACTAACCAACCTTTCTGGCTTCTAACTTGATAGAAAAATGTAATAACAGAAACAAAAATAAAATAATAGATGGGCAGGGGGGGGAAAAAATAAATCACCTAGAAATAAAGGTCTGATTTAAAAATGAACAACAGGGCTGGCTAAGGCTGTATCCCATAGCACCTGGCACACGCTGGAGGGGCTGTGTGGAGGAGTAGGAAGGGCTGGGGGTGGAGAAGATCAGGGCCTTAGGAGGCCCCACGGACAATGATCATGACCAGATAGTCGTCCTCTGATTTGGCCAGAGCCTTGGCCGTGGAGTCCAGGAACTGCTGGGAGAAATCGCAGGGCGGGAAGGCGTGCAGGACCCCGCTGTTCTCCTTGTCTTTGTTCCCCCCCACGGGGAGGCTGATCACCCCAGCAGCCTGCTTTTGCTTTAGATAGGACACCAGATTCCTGAGGGGCCTCTGGGTGGAGGTGGTGGTGGTGGAGGTGGTGGTGGCGGGTTCAGCGGCCGCCGCCCGGTTGTCCGATGCTCCGGGCACTGCCAAGAGGATGGCGTAGCCGTTGGGACCCGCCACCTTGATGCGCCGGTTGACCTCGTCCAGTTTGGGCTGGTCCAGACGAAGACGTTGGGTGATCTTGAGCTGAGCTACTTTCCCACCAGTCGCTCCTTCCACCAGGAGGCTGCTGGCCACGCCCAGGTCCCCCTGCAGCAGGTGCATGTTGGACGGGAAGTTGCTGTT